CGAATACATAACATCAACTACTAATATTATATTTAAGAAATTAATTTAAAATATAATAAATAAAATTTTCATCTGACTTTTTATTACCTCTATACATATTTTATAAATATTATTTATTTAATTAGATTATAATTCATCCAAGTCATTTTTAACAGCAGGCCGCGCAACGCGCGGGTGTCTTACTAGTTTCTTTCATCCGACAGTAGTAATAATTTTTTTCAACCTAAAAAGCAGACAAATTATAATACTGCAAATCAATGGAATTATTATTAATTTTATTAAATTGATAAATAATCTTTTAGAAAAGTAAAAAAAAAAAGGACTAAAAGATGAAATAAAGAAAGAAATTAGGCAACTGTATATGCACCGCACGCAATCGCAGCCGGAATAGAATGTCACAAATACACTTTTTTTATTATTATTATTTTTTTTAAATTAATTTGGTAAAAAAGGCAACCCCTTTTATTCAAACGAAAAATCCAGCAAACTTGCTTTTCTCCATTCTTTTATTTTACTATCCTATGTTTTATACTACCTCCTTTTTTAAATAAACGTCGTTTTGACTTTTTTTATTCATCCATTTTTCTATGTATCTAAACATATTAATGTCTAGATACATAGAAAAATAGATGAATCAAAAAAGTCAAAACGACATTTATTTAAAAAAGGAGGGAGTATTATTTTTTCTTCGAAAGAATATGTGCCCTTGTATAGCTGTTGTGAGCTCGGTTTGCTAAGTCTCGAGTTTGACTTAGTTCTTTTAATAAACAAATCGAACTTGAACTCACTTAAAACTTATTTTTATTATCGAGTCGAGCTCATCAGTTCAACTTGATAAGACTCGAAAATAAATTTTTATATAATTTTTCATATTTCGGCTCGTTAAAAACTCGAGATCGATTAGATATGGCTCGAACTCCACTCGTCTATATTGATAAACGAATCGAGTTTGATTTCTAACTCGGTTATGCAGTGTATGTCTAGTCGTTATTTTCATCTAAGGTCTTACCGTAAAAATATTTACCAACATAATTTTGACTTGTGTAATAGTCATGAATAGAGTGAAAAATCAACCTTAATTAATTATCCAAAAGTTATCCTAGTCAGTAGGTAATATTAATGAATTACAATTATGACTTCAATTGTAAGCTTATATGAAGGAGAGATTCTACGGTCCCGTTACGGAATTATTCCGTCGGAGTTTGTAATTATTAGATCAACTATTCACGACAGTTATATGATGAACTAACGGTTACAAATCTTGACGGAATGATTTTGTAACGAGACTGTAGCATTTTCCTATGCGAAGATAATAATATATTTACCAATCACCCATATATATGTAAATAATTAGTACATTCAGTTCGTTGGACGAGTTGTTACCTTCAATTATCTGCTAATTAATCAAATAATCAACTGTTGATCAAATGTCAAATATAGACATTTTTCAGTTATTATGGGTCATAATTAAGGGAGATGCTACGGTCCCGTTATGGAATCAAACGGTTGCAGTCCCCAACGAAATGGTTTCGTAATAAGATGTACATTTCCCCATAATTAATTATACACTTAATATAAACGGCATTGTATTAATGATGGATGACCCCATTAAAAGAACATCTTTATTTTTTTTTTTTTTTGTTAAATTTCTTAATTTTTTTTGTACTGGCTTCATAATAGCATATGTACTAGTCCAAGACATTTTTGTGTTATGCGTGGAGATGTCCTTAACCATTAAGATGATAAGATCTTACATTCACATTGATTTAACATTATTATTTTTATTTGCATGCATTAAATGCACTCAAAATATATCATTCTTTATTAATAATTCTTTCAGAATTAACATTGCTAACATATACTATTGATTAACAACTCACTACATGTTAATTATTCATCCAACTTAAGTTATAAGGGAAATGGTCGGAACCGTCCGTCGAATTTGTAACCGTTAGATCGTCATATAACTGTCGTGGATAGTTGATCTAACGGTTGCAAACCCCAACAGAATGGTTCCATAACGGGACCGTAGTATCTCCTTAAGTTATAATTAACAATTTTTCACATCGATTTTAACAATAATTTAAGCATTGTAACACGAAAAACAACCGATTTTGTTGATGGTCGATATATATGTCTTTACTGGTTCAAATCGAGACTTTTCTAAAAAGGATAGTCACTTTTCGAGCTAAATTTGACAAGTTTTCTAGCCAAAATGACAATGTATTTTATTTGTATCGTTGTGTTTATTACTCCCTCCTTTTTTTTTTTAAATGTTACTACCTCCTGTTCATTATAAATGTTGTTTTGACTTTTGTGATTCATCCATTTTATTATGTATCTAGACATTAAATATGTCTAGATACATAGCAAAATGGATGAATCAAAAAAGTCAAAACGACATTTATAATGAATAGGAGGGAGTATTTTGGCTTTATCAACTATTAATCAAATAAATGTCGTTTTAGATCTTTTGTACATATTTTTTCATTATTACCCTAATTTAGCTAATAAATACATTACGTCTTTTCATATTCACTCTTCACATTTTCTCAAAACATTCATCTCTATCTTCATTAAATAAATTTATTATTGACAACAAAAATATTTTTAATTAATGTACAATTTTTCAAAACGACATATATTAAAAATAGGAGATAATATTATTTTGACTTTTGAGTTCTCTCACCAACAACAAAGTGTAATGCTTGAAAAAAAAATCGGAAAAAAAAAGTTATGCTTGAAAATTGAGTTAACTCACCTAATCTCTTCCCCCAAATGAAAATAAATTAATGTTATCAAAAAAGATTTCTTCTTTTTTATTCCAAAAGGCAGATTTACCCATGCATGTTATCATGAAAGCTTTTTGATCCACTATAGAAAAATCACCATTTTTTGCAGGGACAAAGAGGTCCAATCATGCTAAAAAAGCTGCAAACGAGCCGAGCCGAGTCGATTTATGCTGCTCGAGCTCGATTTATCATGCTCGAGCTCGACTCGATTAAAAAATACAAGAGCTCGAGCTCGGTTCGAGCTCGACTCGAATTCAAAATGCTCGAGCTCGGCTCGAGTTCAGTTCGAATTTTTTCAAGCAATTTTGTAAAATAACCATTAAATACATATATATACAAGAGTATTTTAGTAATTTCATATATCTCGAGCCGCTCGCGAGCCGCTCGATAATGTAAAATATAGGCTCGAGCTCGATACGAGTTCGGTCAAACTCGAGCTCGAGCCGAGCTTTGACTCGAGCGCTCGCGAGCTGCTCGACTCGTTTGCAGCCCTAATTGTCACACACAAAACCACAGTCCAAAAGTCGCACTGTTCTATAGGGAATCTGTGGACGCGTTGGATCTGAGAAACTCCACAACTCGGTAGTTTGACTCAGCAGCCTTTCAAATCATATGAATATATAATACCATGAAAATTCTATGAAAATTCCAATAATGACATTTATATTTTAAATAGAGCAACCGGCCGTAGGTTGTCGGTTCCAAGAACCTGTGACTTTACGGGTCGTTTCGAATCGAATTTTCTATTTTTGGTTCCGTCGGGCAGGGACCGGTTTACAGGCCCGACCCTTGATTTTAGCGGGCCGATTAAGAGTCACCCACCGCTAGCCCAGCCCGTTGCTGGCCATCTCTAATTTGTAGAGAGAAAAAAAAAAAAAACCTGAAAACACTTTTTAGTAATTAAAAGTTTAAAACGAAAAACACACCCATTAAAATATGATATTATTTGGCATGTGGTCATAAAACAAGAAAATTGAAAACGTGTGGCCGGTGTTCTAAACTGGTGCTGCCACGGCCACCTTTTGTATCTATAATAGCTATATATACACACTCGCACACAATCACACACAGAAAAGTAAAATAAAAAATAGTAAAAAAAAAGGGGTTCATTCAAGAAATAGGGAAAAAAAATAGAAACTAATAAAGATCCCATTTTTATTGAAAAAGATTCAATTTTTTTTTTTTTAATTTTTTTTACAGCTAAAATCATGGCACTAGCAAGAGAAATCATGGGTTTCTCTTTGATTGAAAGATCTACGTTTCTAGATGCTTCGTCTTCTCGGCTGTTGTTGAACCGGCCAAAGAACCGGTTTTTTGTGCCCCGTGGGGGGAGTAGGGTACAACCGGTGGTGAACAGGGCTGTGAAGGGTACAACCCCTGTTGCAGCAATTAGTGAGGATTTGGATTTGGTGAAGGTTGTGCCTGAAAAGGCAGTGAAATTTAAGGTGAGGGCAGTTGTTACAGTGAGGAACAAGAACAAAGAGGATTTTAATGAGGCTTTGGTTAAACATTTGGATGCTTTTGCTGACAAGATTGGGAGAAATGTTGTGTTGGAGCTTATCAGCAATGATATTGATCCAAGTGAGTGTGTGTGTGTGTGGGTTTATTCATTTTTCCCTTTTTTTTTTAATGTTTTTGCCTTTTACATTTTTGTTCACTCAATGGTATTTGCTGCAGATGATGGATATTGCTGATAAATTCAACTGAATTAATTTTAGGTTCAAATCTTTTTGCAACTTGAAATACATGTTTTCTTACTATCTTGGGCCAAACTTACTATTTACGGAACCATTCCGTCGGGTTTGTAACCGTTAGATCATCATGTAACCTTAACCGTAAGAGATAGTTGATCTAACGGTTATAAACTCCTACGAAATGGTTTCATAACGAGACCGTAACAACTTCCTTAAACATTAAAGTGGTTTTTTTGTTTTTTTATGTTATTTCTTGTAATATTGTTCTGTTTTTGAGCTTTGTTCATCCTTGTCCCTTATCAGAAACCAAGGCTCCAAAGAGGAGCAATGAAGCAATCCTAAAGGATTGGTCGAAAAAATCGAACCTCAAAACCGAGAGAGTGAATTACACAGCAGAATTTGTGGTGGATTCAAATTTTGGTGTGCCAGGTGCAATCACTGTGGCTAATAAACACCAGCAAGAATTCTTCATAGAGAGCATCACAATTGAAGGATTTACATGTGGGCCTGTGCACTTCCCCTGCAATTCTTGGGTCCAGCCCAAGAAGCATCATCCTGGGAAAAGAATTTTCTTTTCTAACCAGGTAATAATACATCTTTCTTTGATTCTTTTTTTTTTTTTTTTTTTGGTTATTTTGTACTATGATGTAATTTATTTACAAATTGTTGTTTTTTGGGATGACCCTTGTGTGAATTTTCTGTCAAATGTGTGATGGTTTGAAGTTTGAAGTGTAGTGTTTTTGACCAATCATGCAGCCATTCTTGATTTTTCCAAAATTTCACTTTTATCCTTGTTGTAATGTTGTTTACATTATAGCCCTTTTTTTTCTGCATGGGGAAGCCTTTCTGCAAATGTGTATTCACCTTTTTGTTTTACTAAACTTTGAAAGTTTGTAACCGTTGGATCAACTATCTCCGACGGTTACAAACCTCGACGGAATGGTTCCGTAACGAGACCGTAGCATTTCCCTATATGTTATCCATTTGGTTCTACATTTCTTGATGCTATGAACAAAAAGTGGATTTATATATTTCATATGTTTCAAAACAGTGTTGGGCTATACATTATAATAACTCTTCTAATCAAAAAAGTTGAGATGATGAGTATTAAAGAAAGAAGAAAACCATAGTTTATTAGCTAGACTCAAATCACCTAAACCATGTGCCTAATAGTATTTTCTAATATCAATCTAATTTTTGTAAATTATTGAAGTATATGTCTTTTCTTTCCCTTAATTCTTTGTTCTTTTTTTTTTATATTTAATTTCATTTCAACAGCCATATCTTCCCCATGAGACACCAGCAGGACTAAAAGCTCTTAGGGAGAAGGAGCTTCGAGAACTTAGAGGTGATGGAAAAAGAGAAAGAAAATTGTTCGATAGAATATACGACTTTGACGTGTACAATGATCTTGGAAATCCCGATAAAGGGATCGATTTTGCTCGACCAATGCTCGGTGGAGAAAAAATTCCTTATCCTAGGCGATGCAGGACGGGCCGGCCTCCTACTGATACCGGTTAGTAGTAGCCATGCTAGCTAGCCTTCTTGACCAAAAAGTAGGAAGAAAAAAAAAAAAGTTGAAAGTATATGTAATCAATAAATAGATAATTGCAAAAACGACCCTGAGGTTTGTGGCGATTTCAAAAGGACCCAAGAACTTTCGAATTGGTTAAAGTTAGCTCCTTTAAGCTTGTTTACTGACTTGACTTAGAGGGGGTTAGTATAATATATTCATGAATATAAGGGAAGATGGGGGGAACTACTTGGCTATTTTTATAAGGGGTGTATTAGTTTGGGATTTCTAAAGACTTTTTATGACTTTAGAAATCTTGATGTATTTAATTACCTTTTAAGATTTTTTAAAAATCTCGAGGCAGAGATTTTAAAAAGTCTTACAAAATCCTAAAGTACTTTTAACTTATTTTAACTTATTTGAGACTGAGATTTGTCAACACTCTTTTAAGATTCAGTGGGATTTCAAAAGAAAACTATATATGAAATTTCACTCCGAATTCCACCTCCATAATTTGGATTTCAAATATCAAAAAGCCTCAAAATATCACTTGAAATCCCAAATGAATACACACCCATTTTAGTATTTTTGTGGGTTTTCTTGTAATGAGTCCATAAAAGAACTAGAAAGGAAAAAGAATACTTATGTCTAACTTATCAACCGAAAAAAAAAAAAACAGATTTACACTCCGAAAGCCGAGTGGAAAAGCCATTGCCGATGTACGTGCCGAGGGACGAGCAATTTGAGGAGTCGAAAATGAATGCCTTCTCGACCGGGAGACTGAAGGCTGTCCTTCATAACCTCATACCTTCACTAATGGCTAGCATATCGGCTAATAACAAGGATTTCAAGGGATTTTCTGATATCGATAGCCTCTACAGCGAAGGACTTCTTCTTAAGCTCGGTTTTCAAGACGAAATCCTGAAGAAAATCCCCATGCCGAAAACAGTTAACCAAATTCAAGAAGGTGGATTGCTCAAATATAACATCCCAAAGATTGTATCAAGTGAGTAGTGATGAAGTTCTTTATGACCTGTTATTGAACTGCTGAATACGCATTAAGCCTATTTAACCATTTTTTCGAATGTGATTATGACAGAGGATAAATATGCTTGGTTGAGAGATGACGAATTTGCCCGGCAAGCCTTAGCCGGAGTTAACCCGGTCAATATCGAGAGGCTTCAGGTTTTCCCTCCGGTGAGTAAGCTCGACCCGGAAATTT